GAGCAGGGCGCACCTGCCTGCCTGAACCATCGGAACAAGCCCATCACAGCCTCCCGGGGACCAGGGGCAGCCCCTCGCTTCCTACCACAGAGCTGCCCCCTGCAGACGGATGCAGTGCGCCTCTGACCTTCGGGGCCTGCCGCGTCCCCTCCCGGGAGCCCCCACCTCATCTTCCAGGGTCCCCCTCCCTGGAGCCCCCATCTCATCTTCCAGGTCGGCTGCAGTGTGCCCATGGCGGGCCTCCCTCTTATCACGGAGTGGAGGCGATGCTGACAGCAGGGGGCAAGGGCAGGGTACATTAGGAGCTTGGGATGGAGAGACACACAACTGTATATAAAATAGGTGAACAAGGTCCTACTGTTTAGCACAGGGAACGATATTCAATATCCTGTAAAAACCTAAAACAGAAGAATCTGAAAAAGAATACATATGAACACCACACATACATATATATAAACAACCATTTTGCTGTATACCTGGAAACACTGTAAATTCACTTTGCTTCAATTAAAAAAAAAGAAAAGGCAGGTCTGTCAGGAACGGAGCGTCTAGGAAGTGCAACATTTACGGAGCCCCCTCTAGGTGCGTATACAGCACCTCCTCTGCAGACGGCCGTCACCGTCTAATTTGGAATAACGTGTTACACCGTCTCCTATACGCCAGGCACTGTTATGTGCATTCACATCCTGATCAGGATGGGGTTCATTCACACACCATCCCAGTTTTACAGACCAGGAAACTTAGGCCCAGAGAGGTTCATTCACGCTGTTAAGTGGCTCCAGAGGCTCTGACTGCAAAACTGAATCCGTTGCAGAAACTAACACCACTTCGTGCACCAACCACACTCCAACCAAGAACAAACAAATCACCAGCGTCTCACTGGGACTGTGACTCAGGCCTCAGGCCGGGTCATTAACCTTCACCACCAAGCTTTCCTTTTGTAGACGAGGACTGAGGAGGCTGACCCTGGGCGCTGCGGGGAGCTCTGCGTCCAGCGGGCGCTGCCCGACTCGCAGCTGAGACCACCCCACCCTGTCACCTCCCGCGTCACCACAACTAACTTAAAACCAATCGAAGTTACAATTAGTAATATGACAGAGCGACCAGATTTGGTTAAAACACAATCTGCCTTATTAGAAATAAGAGCCTTTCAATTGGGCTTCCCAGGAGGCAGAGAAGTAAAGAATCCACCTGTCAGTGTGGATGTGACTGTGAGATGCAAGAGATGTGGGTTCGATCCCTGGTCAGGAAGACCCCTGGAGGAGGAGATGGCCTCCCAACTCGAGTATTCCTGCCTGGAGCATCCCATGGACACAGGAGCCTTGCGGGCTACATCCCACAGGGTTGCAAAGGGTGGGACATGACTAAGCACATGCGTATACAACATTTCAATGCTGGTCAACACCAAAATGACTACAAAGAGAATTTATAAGAGTTTTGGGCAAATAACGAAACTAAACCTGAAACCAAGCCTGTTTTTGAGATACTAAATGGTAGGTTCCATTGTACTTCATGAGAATCTTGATATGCAAATATAGCAACTGATAGTGGTAAAAGGCTTTTGGACTAGCTAACATTGTTTTAAACAAATGAAAAATCTGGTTGCCCCAGATATGAGACAAGGGGGAAAACGGAGCTAATAAAGCTTCACTCTGGTGGAATTTCCTTCTCTTCAGAGTTTTTTCTCTTTATCACATCTCAACTTGCTTCAACACACACCCCAATGCATCTGTTTCCTGTCTTTCAATTGTTACATAATTACATAATTTACACACATTTTTGTGTTTATGTGTTTGAAAAGGAGGAGAATTATGAAATACGTATCTTATATAGTCATATTAAAATGAAACTTTAGAACTATAAAAGAGGGAGGTGAGAGACTTACATTAGTAAATATCCTTTTGGACACACAGTGGGTGATCGCTTTGAGAGTCTTTCGTACTGAGAGGTTTTTGACTTTTTAGATTTTGTTTACTTTAGTAGAGCTGATGTCTACTTGCCTCATTTGCGGGATACAAATTTTACCTTCTTCATAATTCTAGTTTAATACTGAAATATTACTTATTATAAAGTCTGAGATAAACCATAATCCAGGTTATGTTATTCAGTAAGCAGCTGAATGCCATTTCAGATACTTTTTAAGTATACCTTTTTAATACAGCTCCTTGGCTATCACATTCAATAGATATGTAAACATGGCTTAAAGTGGATTACTCTTAACATGTTACAAGTAAATTGCACAGTGATAGAGTTTGTAATAAAAATAAGCAGGACACCCACTGCTCACACACTATAGTTAAGTATATTCGCTGATCTCAAAAAGATTTAACTTTTACTCAAACAAGAGCAGTATTTTCCATCTAATCTATTAGCTTCAGACAATGCATATTAGCTGCAGATTATTGGGAATCTTTTTATGTTCAAAGGAAGTATTTTTCACTATATTATAAATAAATATAACAGTGAAGATTCATCTTACATGCAAATAAGAAAAAAAAAGGAAGTCTCTCATTTATCCCTACAAAACAAGGTAGCTTAAAATTTTTTACCACTGCTGGTCTTCATGTATGTATTCCCATATTTTACACCCTGGAAAAAAGCAAGACATGATGTGTTTCCATAATTAACTTTTATTTGTTTATTTAGGCTGCACTGCAGCAACCTGCGGGATCTGAGTTCCCCAACCAAGGAGTCAAGTCAGGCCGCCGCAGGGAAATTGCTCAGCCCTAACCACTGGATTTCCAGGGGACTCCTCATAACTAACTTTTCTCAAGGGTTATAAACTGATAAAACAGAACCACTCATGGGTCAGATTTTTCATTTACACTCACTCTGTTAAGTCTACCTTCCCCTTGGGCTGAATAGTTTGTGGGTATAACTTAGCTCGGTATTTAAAATAATATTTTTAAGCCATAAAGACAAGGCATTTTCTTGATTCCTTAATATTCCATGGTATTTTCAACATTCAGGTGTCACATATTCTGGTTAATTATAGCCAATAAGATGTCATCAGCCTATGCAAATCTGCATCACTGTTTTAAAAAAATTTAAACCAATTCATAGCACCAAAAAATGCTCAAAAACCATCTGCATTTACTGTTGACATTAATCCAGAACATTTATCTGCATTAAATTTCATTAAAACACATCAAGAACTCTATCACCATTTATCTAAAATTACACATCACAGGACTCCAACTTCATAGGATTTAACCAGCTGACTTTCACAAGTATAAACTCATGATGTTTTTGTCTGCTGCTGTGAAGCTAGTCTAGTTCTTCATGGGCAAATAAAACGATAATATAGCAATTCAGTTGGTGGAAAAGATACAGTCTCAGTTGAGAACAAGATTTTGTTTGGTATGCTGCAGTAATCCAGGTGCCAGGCATATAGAAAGTGACATTCAGCAGTTGTTTGCTGAAGGAATAAACACGTGGGCATAAGTATTCTACCATAAATTTTTACTTTTGCTTCCATTAACATCGCATCACATACATGAATACGGAACTTGTTCAAGGCATTGAAAGCTGAAAATAGAGTTTAGAATTTTCAGCTGCAGCATAATCAAGGAACTTTTTATCACAAAATCAAACAATCTCTATTCTCACAGGACCACATGTAGAGCTTATCAATTTCATCAGGAACTGTAAAAAAAAAAGTAGCAGAAAATAAGTCTGTATGTTACTGTTATCTCAAATGAATCCACATGTAAACACATTGCTCTAGGGAGGAGCAGAGGAACTTTTTAAAGTACTGAAGTTATCTTTAATTGAATATGAAATATTAAAAAATGAGAAGACTACTACTAAACTAGGACAGAATAGTAGGAAGCACTGTTCTCCAACACTTGTTGGGAAAAGGAAGCAGAGAGGAAATGGGAACATACTAGAGTTTTATAGAGCTTTATGGCGGTAATTCACCCACAAACGGTAGAGCAGGCACCCTGTCTCATGTGGTCATATGATGCAAAGCCTGCCGAACATTCAAACAACTAAAATCATCCCACCCAATGTAAAAAAAGTCTGTCTCCAGTCTAATGTGAGAATAATTTTTGGAAATTTGCATTTAAATGCTGGTACTGTTTGTCACAATTTTTGGCTTTTCCTTTTATTCCACCTTTTACTTACTAAGCACAAAGAGGGTTCAAACAAACAGTAATTTGCACTTTATGGCCCTTTCAGTCCACCATCTTAAAGCATTAACGAAGTATTATTTATCTTATTTATCCTAAATTAGGGTAATCAGAATTAAGAAAGGCAAAGACTCTTGCTTGTTTTCTTGATGCGCCAGTTTGGAATTTGAAAGTACTTGTGATATGATTACTGCATTTGAGAAAACAGAATATTTTACAGAGATGACCAAAACGCTGCTTTCTGGGTATAGCTGCAGAACATTCATCCACATCTTCTGGAGGAAAAGTTGTACATTTCCAAGTCATCATGATTAGTAGGGTTTACTACTAGTAAACTATTAGTAGGGTTTGCTTTTCAGTTAAGGCATTAGATTTAAAGATGGTTTTACATGAACAGCTTGAAGAACTGTAAATAAGCAATTGTACTGATTGCTTTCTGATTATTTATCAGCTTGCACTATAGTATGTGAGCCAATTTGGCCACATTCTTATTGAAAATATTTTGAATTAATTTTAATTCCCAAATATTGAGGCTTAAGCATCACATAAACGTATTTGTTACGCCATCATTTAGAAGCAAACTCAGGCCCTTCACCTCCTGTCTGCAGGGCTTAGTACTTCAAACAAATGGAAATTACCTGAGAACAGGAAGGTTTTTCTTTATACAGTGGTTATTGCAAATAAAGTGCCTTTCAGAGACTAAAATTCTGTTTATACTATTTTATCGTCACTTCAAAGCTCTATTTTGTATTTAAGAGGCGATCCTCAGATACATCTGAATGGTGATAAATCTCTAAACCTCACCATGCAGCTCATAAGATAGCTCTGTAATGTGTTACCTAAGAAAAGGACAATACAACTAACAGCTCAAGAAAAATCAGAGAGTGTTTAATGGCTGCAATCTATCTGTAGTAATAATACTATACTGTACTTGAACCATTTCTGAAGAGTAACAAAAACTGGAGACTACATCTCTTATTAAGAAAAGGGACAATCTTAACAGGAAAATTACAAAAAGATAAGCCAGCAGTCTGATTATTCACATTATAAAATCTACTAAGGCATGCAATTCAATACCTTTCACGTATTGAGCTCACAGACAAAGCTTGCTGACCTCGTCTTGGACAGTAAAATCCATCGTCCCCCTCTTTGGGCTCAGCACCCTCCAAAAAGCAGGGATCACAGTTGCAGAGCAGTCATTTTCAAATAGTGCCCTGGTAAGTTATTTACAAGACTCCCCTCGTCCCCTGCCCTTCTCAGAGGAGAAGGGGCCGCTGAGGAAGGATCAGCTTCGTATGTCCACCCCTACGGCAGCAGTCCAGCTGTGACGTGTTCTAGGGTCTGGGGTCCAATTCTGTCTGAACAAAGAGTGTCTTAAGGCTGAGTAATCCACTGTACCTTAAAAACAAAAACCCACCCAAACCAAGAACCACTGTAACCAATTTACAAGCTGATTTCCTTCTCCTTCATCCTGTTTGTTCTCTGATGCACCATTCCTTCCATACTCACCTTTCGCACCCTTCGGGGGAAGTGAACTACTGAGCCCAGGAGGGGAGGGAGGTTACGGAAAGAAAAAGAAGAGATGCCGCTGCTGTGAAATCCACGGGAGATGCGAGCATTCTGCAGACGCTGAGAGTGCACCGACCCCTGAGAGACCGAGCGGGCTCAGAGCTCAGACCCAACGCTGCCCGGCTTCCGGGAGCCGCGTGTGCGCATCAGCATCGTGTGAGCACCCACGGGCCTCATCAACACGTGTGCTCTTTGCTCGGCCTGACAAGAGCACCGACAGGGACAAGGCGCTGGTGGTTCTAGAAAGCCGGGCGGGTGACTGTCATCAGGGTCACGTGCCAGGGCCATCGTTAACGGATTAGAGTGACAGGAAAGCTATATCATTATAGTGTGTTTTCTTTCAAAAATTTTAAAGAAAACCTAATTCTATTAATGGGCTTCCCAGGTGGTGCGGTGGTAAGAATCCGTCTGCCCATGCAGGAGAGTAAGAGACGCGGGTTCCAACCCCGAGTCGGGAAGATTCTCTGGTGAAGGAAACGCGACCCACCCCAGTATGCTTGCCTGGAAATCTCCTGGAGAGAGGAGTCTGCATACAGTTCGTGGGGCCACAAACCAGTGGACAGTGTTCCCAACTTGCTTTTTCAAGGCCTCACAAGCTTCTAGAAATATATCAATGCTCCACTAGCAGGTAAACTCTCCAAGTCACTCACAAGACTCTACTTTCCCACATGGGTAAACATCTTTCCCACACTGTTTAGGCAATATATTTAATACCAATAATGATACAAGAAAGTTGGCTACTATGTTAAAATATCTATTGAATATTTGGTATTCAGCTAGACATTTTCTGGATGATTCTCAAACTGTATTCAGCTACTTTTCTTCCCATCTCCAAAGAAACTAGATTTTTTTTTTTTTCAGACACAAAGGCTTTTTTTTTTTTTTTCCAGTTTTAATAACCAAAGTTTGCTTTCCTATTCTTCCACAAAGAATAGGTTTATCCTTATGGTAATTTATTTGCGACAACAGAGAGGAAGGAGAAATTGGAGCAATAATCCAGAGGCGAAAAGTACATCATTCACTAAAATGGCGTAAATAGATTTAATGTCTCATGTGAAAACATGATATATGGATGTGAAGGTTAAAATATCCAAATAATGATAGTTTTCTTCCTTAAAAGATAAACTAGGCGCCTCAGGATCTATTTGTTCCTCACTATTCATCAGTAACACGACCTGCTCTATGCATCATTAAAAAGCAGACTGATAGCATCTCCATGAAAAGTCCCTTCAGAGATTTCAAACAAATGATTAAGCATAATAAAAATAAATGAAAAAAAAAAAAACAGAAACAAATGATTAAGCGTAGTTAAGCCTTCAGTGTTAGGTGCGCGACTGAATACAGCAGGGGAAACCTCTTGGCGCAAGGACTTCCTGGACAGACCTCAGTTTGAGTTGTAACTTAGCATGACTTGAGGTGGGTCTTACTTTTCTCCCCTACAAAGGGAGTGTGTTTACCTTGCAAAGCTGTTGTGAGCATTATAAATAATAGGTGTAAAGTATCCAGTGTGGGGACATGTTCTAGGATAGGTGACAAAATTAAAAGTCTTTAGTCAAGTGAATCTTAAAAAGAAAAAGGATAAAAACAAGAACTGTAAACGATGGGAAAGTTATCAAAACTACAGTAAACATTAAAAAGTCATTACACAGTGATACAGAATCTCAAGCAAAGTGATCCCGAGGCTAGCGTCTAAAAAACTGTCAACGGAGTCCCGACGCGCATCCAGCTGCTCCCCCGATGGCCGGCGGGTGGGACCCGCGCGCCCCGTGGCCGGTCCGGCTCCTTCAGAGATCCCTTCCGGCTCCTTCAGAGACCCCACTTCCGGCTCCTTCAGAGACCCCTTCCGGCTCCTTCAGCGACACCTTCAGCCCGCGTCTCCTCACATCCCGCGTCTCCTCACACCCCGCGAGCACGGCCCCGGGGGACCACCATCATAGTGAACAGGATGGATTTTCGGCACACGTCCTCACCTTTCTGAGTCTCTCGTCCTTTCTGAGGGACCTTTGTTCTTTGAGGGACACAGGCTCAACATCGCAAAGTGTTGTTTTATACCAGAGTCTGACAAGACTGCCTTTGCCGTATCTCATGCAACGTCTCATTTCGATTCTTCAAGCTCCAGTTCCCCATAACGACACCCCAAAGATGAATTTCCCAGCAGACCTCGCCTCACAGCTCTAAGCCCCATTGCCTCTACGGTTTGCTGCGGTTTCTCTGCTGAGCTCTGGCGCAGGGGCCAGATGCGCTGCCCCAACTCACGCCACCCGGGAAAACGCTCTGGCAATGGGACCCAGCATTTCACAAGGTTCCTAATGGGTTCTTATGGACAGACGCTTGTGAACTGCTAACTTTAAAATAAATTTCATCACCACTAGGAATCATAGCCAACAAGCTTTCTATGGATGAATTCGTTTAATCCTCAGAACAACCCTATTGGGGCAGGCATTACTGACGCAGAAGCACAAGGCAGAGAAAGGTTAAAGAACTTGCCCTGAGTCACACAGCCAGAAAATGGTGGAAACAGATTAAGTTCAGATGGAAACAGATTAAAATGGTGGAAACAAACAGATTAATGGTGGAAATAAAATTTTTTGTTCTTCAGCCCCGTATAGACCACTTCCATCCATCATTCAAAGGCCTTGAGTGTCAAAACCTAACCTTTGGACAATGAATTCCTTGCTGTTGCTGTTCAGTTGCTAGATTGTGTCTGACTCTTCATGACCCCATGGACTGCAGCACCCCAGGCCTCCCTGTCCTTCACCATCTCCCTGGGATTGCTCAAACTCATGTCCATCGAGTTGGTGATGCCATCTAACCATCTCATCCTCTGTGGTCCCCTTCTCTTCCTCCTTCAATCTCTCCCAGCATCAGGGTCTTCTCCAGAGTCAGCTCTCCACATCAGGTGCCAAAGTACCCAGTTGAATGTGCTCCCTTCCCTACGGAGATTTTCACTGTTTCAGTGAGGCCATCAGAACCTCTAAATGAAGCTGAGCTGAGGAAAGCGGGCATCCACTGCATGCCTTACTGCGGATCCAGGAGAGAAACGCGTGAGTGCAGAGCCGGAGCGGGGCCCCTGGCTCTGGTCCCTTCCTTCTCTGTGAAGGCCTCCTCTCCCGTCTGGGAGCATGACAGCTGCAGGAGCTCCTGTCCTCTGATCTGCACAGGACCACCTGCAAGGAGGAAGAGGACACACCCCTTTCTGCCCGCTCCTTCATCGAAGCGAGGAAAACATCCCCAGACCGCACTCAGCCCACTGCCCCTCAGGCCCACCCACACAAGGGAAATAGGATTATTGAGTGGCTTGGACTAATTCCTGGGGAGCAGCAGATATCATGGCTGACCCCACTAGGTAAATTCCTCTGCCTCTGTCCTTACTGCGCTCCTGTCTAGATTCCCCAGGCTTCGCCACGCTTTCCACACCTCCCTGCTCCCCTCAGGGGTCCCCTCCATCCCTCCTGCCCTCCACCCACCAAGTAGGTCTGGAGTGTCAGGTACCAGGCGGCCTCTCCTGGAGGCCCGGAGCTATAAGACACAGCCCTGCCCAGCGCGGCAGCAGACCCAAACCCCACAGTAGACCAAGCGAGAGTTACTAGGAAGGTAACAAACAGGGAGACGGAGCTGTTGTATTTACGTGGTGCTAAGAAAAGCCTCCCAAGTCAGGGGTACTGAAGCTGAGACCTACAGAATGGGACGGTGGGGAGCAGGAGGTGGGAGGGAGGCAGAACGGACTGAGTCCTTAAGATGGGAAAGACTTGGTGATGCCATCTAACCATCTCATCCTCTGTGGTCCCCTTCTCTTCCTCCTTCAATCTCTCCCAGCATCAGGGTCTTCTCCAGAGTCAGCTCTCCACATCAGGTGCCAAAGTACCCAGTTGAATGTGCTCCCTTCCCTACGGAGATTTTCACTGTTTCAGTGAGGCCATCAGAACCTCTAAATGAAGCTGAGCTGAGGAAAGCGGGCATCCACTGCATGCCTTACTGCGGATCCAGGAGAGAAACGCGTGAGTGCAGAGCCGGAGCGGGGCCCCTGGCTCTGGTCCCTTCCTTCTCTGTGAAGGCCTCCTCTCCCGTCTGGGAGCATGACAGCTGCAGGAGCTCCTGTCCTCTGATCTGCACAGGACCACCTGCAAGGAGGAAGAGGACACACCCCTTTCTGCCCGCTCCTTCATCGAAGCGAGGAAAACATCCCCAGACCGCACTCAGCCCACTGCCCCTCAGGCCCACCCACACAAGGGAAATAGGATTATTGAGTGGCTTGGACTAATTCCTGGGGAGCAGCAGATATCATGGCTGACCCCACTAGGTAAATTCCTCTGCCTCTGTCCTTACTGCGCTCCTGTCTAGATTCCCCAGGCTTCGCCACGCTTTCCACACCTCCCTGCTCCCCTCAGGGGTCCCCTCCATCCCTCCTGCCCTCCACCCACCAAGTAGGTCTGGAGTGTCAGGTACCAGGCGGCCTCTCCTGGAGGCCCGGAGCTATAAGACACAGCCCTGCCCAGCGCGGCAGCAGACCCAAACCACACAGCAGACCAAGCGAGAGTTACTAGGAAGGTAACAAACAGGGAGACGGAGCTGTTGTATTTACGTGGTGCTAAGAAAAGCCTCCCAAGTCAGGGGTACTGAAGCTGAGACCTACAGAATGGGACGGTGGGGAGCAGGAGGTGGGAGGGAGGCAGAACGGACTGAGTCCTTAAGATGGGAAAGACTAGGAGAGGTCCTCGGCTAACAGGGAGGAGGCGGAGGGCGAGGGCTGCAGGGCCAGGCCACGTCGGGGCTTCGGGGCACCCCAAGAGGCTCAGAGTCGGATGTTAGTCCAAGCATTATGGGATGTCCCTAGAGAGATGAAGTCCCCACCTCTATTTTATGAGAATTTCTTGGGCCACTCTGTAGAGACTGGACAGGGGCAAGAATGCAAGTGAGGACAGGATGCTATGGAGAGGACATGTTCTGCGGGCACCACAGACAGGACCGCGCGGTGGCCAGCATCGGGGGATGAGTAACAGGTGAACACTAATCTCTGGAGCTCTGGTCTCAGTTACTGGGTGAATGGTGTACCATTAAGAGTTGGGAAAAGATGGGCAAGAATAGAGTTACAGGTAAGTATGGAGAGTAAATCCATACTCTCACCTTTCACCCGTAAAGTTTGAGGTGTTTGTAAAGCATCCAAATGAAAATGTCAGGTCGGCAGGGGTGCAGGTGGGTCTGGAGCTCTGGGGAGAGAATGGAGTTGGATATACACACATACTACGTATGTATACAGACACATTTGAGACCATCAGCATAAGAAGTTATGCCAGGATAGTCATGATGTGCGGTGTGAATATGACATGCCGAGATGCAGTTTGGGAGGCATTTATCCTGCCTGGTGTTCTCTGAGCCTCCTGGATCTGTGGTTTCATGTTTGACATGAACTTGGGGGGAATCTCAGTCTTGACTGCTTCACATATTTCTCCCCTTCTTTTCTCTTTGGTGGTATTTGCGTTCTATGAACGTTATGGATATTTCTGTAGTGGTCCCACAGTTCTTGGATGTTCTGTTTTTTCAGTCTTTGTTCTCTTTGTTTTTACTTTCTGGAAGTTTCATTGACATACCCTCCTGCTTGGAGACTCTCCCTTCAGCCATGTCCAGTCTCCTGCTAAGCCTACTGAAGGCAGTCTTCATTTCTGTTGGTGTTTCTGGTCTCTGGGATTCCTTTTTGATTCTTTCATAGAATTTCCATCCTCTGCTCACATGCTCATCTGTTCTCACATCCTGTCTCTTTTAGTCATTAGAGTCCTTAGCATTTTAATCACAATTTGTTTTAAACTCCCAGTTTGATCATTCCAACAACGCTGCCCTATTGGAGTCTGCTTCTGTTACTCACCCTGTCTCTTCAACCTGTGGTTTTGTCTTCTGGAATGCCTGGTGATTTTTTTTCTTGACAGATGGATGTGATGTGCTGGGTAACAGGAACTGCTTCAAACAGGTACTGAGTAATGCAGTGGTAAGGTACAGCAATAGAGGAAGCATTTTGAGTCCAATGATTAATTTTGGTTGTTCAGTTGCTCAGCCATGTCCAACTCTTCATGACCCGTGGACTGTAGCATGCCAGGCTTCCCTGTCCTTCACTATCTCCTTGTCCTTCACTATCTCCCAGAGTCTGCTCAAAATCAAACCATTGTTTTAGTGAGCCTTTCTCTCCTAAATGTGTGCTTCAGTGCTTCTGTTTCCCCCACTTAAGGAGCACAGGATGACTGGAGTGGGCTGGAGTTGAGTACTTTCCTCCCCTAAGTCTCTCAGGCTCTGATCAATCCCCAACAGTTTTGGCTCTGATAGTTTCTCTGAGGACATCCTTTGATAAGAAAAACAGAATGCTCAGGAGTAGTTCAACATGGTTCTTTCCTCTCACCCTGCAGGAGAGGTTCACTGTCATAACCTCATCAAGTTCCTGGAGGAAAACTCCAAAACTGTGGAGCCACTCTGACGGGGCCCCCTGGGGTTTGGGACCCTCCGGCAATCCATCACTTACCCTTCCGGGCTTCTCACCCCAATGCTGCTTTCCACAGGCATTTCTCCTCCAGTTGGCTGTGATTCTCTGTGTTTGCCGGGCTTGTCTCTTCAGCATTGGGGCAGCAGTCTGCCCTGTGACCCCACGTCTCTGACAGATCTAAGAACAACTGCTGACTTCTCAGTTCCTTCGACTTTTTACCTGTTAGCACACAGGGATGATCTGCAAGCCCCGTACATGCTGGACCAGAAACTGGA